CCCACCCAGCCCCATCCTCCCAATCCCATCCCTGCAATCCCGCATGGCTAATCCACCTAGCCTTCAAATCCCTGAACACTACAGGCAATTTAGCAAGACCAATCCTCCTAACCTGCACATCTTTGGACTGTGGGAGGAAACTGAAGCTCCCAGTGGAAACCCATGCAGACATGGGAAGAATGTGCAAACTCCACGTGGGCAAACATCAAAGCCTGGAATCAAACTTGGATCCTTGGTGCTGTGAGGTAACAATGCTAGCCACTGTGCCACCGTGCAGTATGTCTCCTAATGTTACACCTTTACGTTGTCATTGGCTGTTCCTCTGATTTCTATTTGTTCCTAGCAATATTCCTTCTCTGGGGAAATTCATTCCTGTACTGAATGCTGTTGCTGTAATAACTTTTGTTGTTCATCCGTTTCAGTTGCTGGAGAACAGTGGAACTCTGACTGATGGTCATTCTGTGCTGTGTGCACAGTGATATAGAGTCAAAGAAATGTAGAGCATGAAAACAGACCCTTCTGTCCACCTCATCCATGCCGACCAGATATCCTAAATAAATCTAGTCCCACTTGCCAGCATTTGGTCTATATCACTCTAAACCCTTCCTATTCATTTACCCATCAAGGTGTCTTTTAAATGTTGTAATTGTTCCAGCCTCTACCACTTCCTCTGGCAGTTCATTCCATACATGCATGATAGACTTCTTTTGACCTGCTGCCTGCAATGAAGGAACAGCTTTTCCAGATGTATGTACAAGTTTCTACTGGCATCAATATGTCTGGTCATTCATATTTGCTATGTATGGTTGAAGTGGCAGCTGTTCTGCATAGATCCTAAGACACCACCAGTGCTGGCTTTTGTTGAGAACATTGAATATTTGCATTGAATAAATGCTCAGGTCTGGTAATGAATTGGCAGTTTTATCAACGCGAAATTGGTTTTCTCTTGTATCTCCTTAATTTAGTCACTACTCTTACTTAAAAAAACCTCCTAGTTTTGGCTTCAGTAATTCTTTTCTTTGTTGGAAGAGTACTTTAGATGTGCTGCAATATTAATCTTTGGACTGGACAAATTTTCATGTCTTCAGTCGGTGTATTTCTCAAATCTAGATTTGCTTGATCTCCTTATGTACCGTTTGGTGATTTTTACTGCTGGATCAGCTTGAGTGGGGATAGTTTGGAGATGAAGTGTGGTGTTGAATTTCCCAATCCCTCATGAAGGAGTTGAACTCCGCATTTGTGAAGTGAGTGCCATTATGTCTGAAATGTGTTTTCAGTCATTCCACAATCTCACAATCATGACGTCAGCTGGTCTAATTCCCAGTCAGCAGAATATAATGAATGGGGCCCCTTCTGCCTCACCTTAGATGGTTTGCATTGCCCTTAATGGGCTTTACACATAAGTTATTTAATTGAAAATGCGGGTGATTTACTAGTGGTGGTTAATAGATGGAAAAAATATCACCGGTGAGTTGGTGATGGAAAAACATGTTCAGTTGTGTGTGAGAGAACTTCTGAAACTAGGGTTTTTTAACAAAAATATGAACAATCAGTTCCTTTGAGGGAAGATGTCTACTCCAAGTTTCATGTATTGTCTGTCTGGGATATTATAAAGTAGCACTTTTCCTTTCTTGGCTTGGTATTCATTACAAGCATTGGTTGATGCAGTCCTTTATCTCTGTTCATGTTTGATCGTAGACCCATCTTTTGATTCTGATGACAATTTAAAGGAGAATTTTGCTAAACAGTTCATGAATCCAATAAATTATTGCAGTGTTCTCATTGCATCTCTACTTTAGTTCTCACTTTGCCAAGAATTGGGCAAAGTTTTGTTTCTGTCAGTGCATGACTTATGAATTTTGTCCAGGCATCTTCAATTACATCCTTTTCTTGTTCACATTCTGATTCATTTGGCAAGTGCTTGCAATTGCACTGGATTCTGCCCATGATCTGCAAATGCTTCTATTGTATCTCCACATCTATAGATTAGCAAATCATCCACAAAAGCTTCCACTCTAGGAAGATCACTGATTATCTCGTGATGTCTGTGTTAGTGCACTTCTATAAATGTCAAACAATATGCACAACAAACTGTGTCCAAAATGTAGTTAGAAAACTATTGCTTTTACCAAGCTTCATTTGTCAGTGTCCATCCTTTGCATCTAGGGTAAGAGCTTTGCCTTGGTAAGTTGTGGCAAAATTTCTTCAGGGCTTGGTATGAATTATTGAAAACTTTTCAAAGCTTCATTGAATTCTTCTGAATACATGCTGGGTTTTCTCAGTTTTCTTATATTTTGTTCACTGCTAATTTGCTGCTAATCAGTTCTGCAGAAGTTTTCATTTTCTTGATTACTAATTTCTTCTCCAGCTGTTCTATGTTGGTCTTTCAGGTTGGACTTGATGACAACTGGAACTCTCCTGAGCAGATGCTGAATTGGTGTTACACTTTTATCTATTTGAAGATGAAGACAATGAAAACTGGTAAATACATCTTTGTAATATTTTATGATCTATTTAGCAGTCATTGGCTGAGTGGACTGTAAAACACCACACCTTCTCTGGCACATTCAGGGTGACTAGCATAAGCTGTACACTTGCTTCAGCTGAGACAAGTGGGCTTTGCTTAGGGTCTACTAGCTGGAACACCTGATTTTCACTCTTCACATTACATTGAGTTCTCAGCTTAATTTATTCTCTTCGCTTGAATATTGTTCCAACATATAACCTCAATCTTACCTATGAGGTTTTCATTTCTGGGTCACCATCTTGAGTTGTTTTGCACAGGTCTGCAATGTTCATAATGTTGCATGAAGCACCATTTCTATTTGGCACTTCACATTCACATGATGCTCTCCTTCTGCAGTCATCATACTAACAGTCATAAGACATTTATCATATTAGACACAACACCACCAACCTGTTGCATGCTGAAGAGTGATTTATCAGAATTATTGGCAGAGGTCTCTCTGGGAGCCATCTCAGTAGGCTAATTCTGCTTCTTTCTAGTTAAAGTGAGTCAGCTGTTGCAGCCAGAACACCTCTTTCCCGATGTATATATTTACATCCTGCTCTCTAGTGTGGATCTTTCTGCAGGTTCTTCTGAAAATATTTCTTTCTTTTTTCAATATGTCGTTCTTATTCACTTTGAAATGTCTCTCAGCATAATACATAGATTATAGAATCCCTACAGTGTGGAAACAGGCCCTTTGACCCAACAAGTCCACACCGACCCTCACAGCATCCCACCCAGACCCATCCCCCGTAACCCACTAATCTACACATCCCTGAACACTATGGACAATTTCCCATGACCTATCCACGTAGCCTGCACATCTTCAGACTGTGGGAGGAAACCGGAGCACCCGGAGGAACCCATGCAGACAACGTGCAAACTGCGCACAGGCAGTCACCCGAAGGTGGAATTGAACCCAGGTCCCTGAGACTATGAGGAAGCAGTGCTAACTACTGAGCCATCAAACCCAGTCTGTTCTCTCATTAATACACTTTAACTGATTATCGACTCTTCAAATCTTCTACACATGTTGATAGCCTTTTTAAGTATAGATTTCTCCTCTCTCAACAGATGTATGATGGCCTCTCTCATATGCTTAAGACAATCCTATCTCCAAACTCAAAGGATTCAGCTAATATTAGTGAGGTCACATGCTGATCAATATTCTCCCGCTTCCTTTGTGTTCTTATGTTGACAGATATTGTGCATAAGTAACATTATGATTCAATATGATTCAAATTGTATCTTTAAAGCCTGCAAAATCTCTCTTATCTGGCTTTGCTATTCCAAAGTGAGATTTAGGCTGCAGAGCTTTCCCCAATATTGATAACAGGGTTGCTACTCTAATTTGCTCTGTCCTTTTATTTAATTGTGTAGCTATTTTGCCACTGAGTGAAAATATTCAAATTTTGTCTCATGTTTCCTTTGATTTCAGCAACGGGGATTGGGAAATGCATAGGCATTTTGACTCACCCAGTAACTCAAATTTGCACACTGCTTTTATTCTTCTTTGATATTGCTTTCAGCACTTACATCACCAAAAATTCACACATTTTCAGCCTCATTCTTGACTCCATGCTTCAAGTGATGTATGTATTGCTAAAAGAACTTACAGCAGAGATAGAGATCTCATAACTATAGGAAGTCAGCCTGTGCACTAAGAAGAATTTCATTTCTCCAAACAGAGGTGACTTAGGAGTTGATGTTGGAACCCCAAACATTTCTCATATAGAAATTCAGAAACATATGTAACTTGATTGAATTTGAGAATGATACTAAATAAGGAGAGGAGTTGAATCTGAAGGGGGAGCTTGGGATTACAAAACCAGTGAGACAAAATAAATCAGACAAGTGTAACCGCATAAGCAAAAAGTGAATCACTTCATTAATGGTATGGAAATAACCAATGATGTCATAGAGTCATACAGCACAGAAACTGACCCTTTGGTTCAACTCGTGCATGCTAACCAGACATCCCAATCTAACGTAATCCCATTTTGGTCCATATTCCTTCATATTCATATACCCATCCAGATGCCTTTTAAATGTTATCATTATAAACCTCTCCACACTTCCTTTCTCAGATCATTCCATACAGGCACCACGCTCTGCGTGAAAAAGTTACCTCTCAGGTCCTTTTTAAATCTTTATCTTCTCACCTTAAACCTACAGCCTCTATTCTTGGACTCCCCCATCCTAGGAAAAATACCTTGGCTATTCACGTTATCTATGCCCCTCATGCTCAGCCTCCAACACTCCAGGGAAATCTTGGCAGATTTGACGACTGTCACTGCTAAGCAAAAATTAACATAACATATGGAATACTGAATGATATTACAAAAATGACAGAATGCAATTCATAGAAAATCTTACTCAAATGGATAATATTATTTTGTTAGCCAAACTATTGATATTTCACTGTCACTGTAGCTCTGGCTTGAAAAGTCAATAAGATATTCAAATAGATGATCAGATGTAGAATCGTGATGCTGCTGTATCATAGGAAGAATACTTGTAGAAGCTTGGGCTATAAGACGATAAGATAACAATTGGTAAAGAAAAGTATGTTGATTTATTCAAGTCAAAAGAAACTCAGGGGAATGCAACATAGAACACAGAAATGGGTACAGTTTCAACCAATAAAAGGCAAATTGATGACTAATCTAATGAGGTTCTTAGCAAAAATACCACTTAAAGAATGAGATAGCTTTTCAGATGAAATAATGGTGACAAAAGGCTGGGATTATTTAAGAAATAATTGGATTGCATGATGTAAACACATGTAGGGAGGAGGGTGGTCGGGTTTTTCTAAAGGATTTTCATAGTGTCCTTATGAGAAAACGATTTTCACACAATACTATATGTATAACATAGATATGGATTAATAATGACTATATCAGTAACAGTTTAACAAATAGTACCTTCTCTACTATGTGGACAAGCAACATAATCAGTTGACTGTGCACAAAATTTGACATTGAATATTCACAATTCACATGAAACTAGCTGTGAGTGCAATATCAGCTTTTTACTGAGAGGTGTATTAGTCATTCACAATTGATTTGGATGCTCATGCATTTTTGAAACATCAATCTGTACTAATTGCAGTCAAATATATCTAAGTAATAGTTTACCTGCAGATGTAGCATGATTGTAATCTCAATGGTGCACTTTATCTTCCATTGAAAAAACTAATCATATGATAATCTAAAATTAGATTTCCTGTAGACAGTTCTTTAAGAAATACCAAATAAATCAAACCCATTGGAGGAAAGAAATAAGGATTTAATTTTAAGGTCTTCCTTTAGATGCCGTTCTAAAAGATTGAGACCATATGTCTGGGATCAGCATGTCCATGGTTTCTATTATAGCATCCTAAGATATGATAAGCGTCTTGTTTATTCATTTAAATAAGGCAGCAGCAAAGCTATAGTTCTATATATTTAACAATTGTATTCTCAAAATTATTTCCTTTAGCCATTTTTTTCACACTAAATGTTTCAAACAATCAGATTGCTTCAAAAATAACCATAGCTACATAAGATCATTTATTTACAATTAGAATTCTACAAAAAAGAGACAGATCAGCTCAATTAAAAGAACATGTATTGACTTATGTAATTCATAAATCTCCAACTGTGTACTTTTTAAAAGCACTGTGATCACTTTTAACAATAGTGTTAAACAACTATTTGATAATGCATTAGAATCCTATTTAACATACAGTCCTATTAGCTTACAACATGAAAGAAGGCATTTCATCCTGGCTCTCTGAAAGATCTAGGCAATTGGTCTCACTCCCAATCATTCTTTTCTTATAGCCATATAAATGTTTTCTCTTCAAATAAATGCCCAAGTTCCTTGAACTTTACAATTCCATCTACTTCCACTACCCTTCCAGGCAGAATATTCCAATCGGTAATGATCTGCCACATAAACAAGTTCTCCTTATCTCTTGTTTTCTTTCTGCCAATTATCTTAAATCTAAGTTATCTTTTTGTCAAACTTTCTGTTATTAGAAACACTTTTTCTCATATGCTGTATTAAAGCTGCATATAATATTGAATGTTTTCATTAAAAATCTCCTCAAATGTTTCTGCTTGAAGGAGAACAATCACAGCTTCTCTCGGCTCCCTACATAACTGAGTCCTCAGTGATATCTAATCTATTAGTGATTCTAGTAAATCTCTTTCTCCAACGGAAATAAAAAATAGGGAGAAATGTCACCTGTTTTACACGCGTGCAAAGTCAAGCACTGCCATTGTTGAATGAGTTATGTTTTCTGTGGTGTCCCATATGAACATTTGATAAATTGTTCACTGTGATTTTTAATGAAGCCATTTGTGAATACTAAGACATACAGAAGGAGTTAGAATAAGGATTTTAGATGTTCATACAGTTAAGAAATATGTTTCTGAGAAGAAGCTCTGATACTTCAGGGATTCTTGAAAGGGTGAAATTATCTAACACTGCTATTTTATCGACAGAAGTAACTGCATGCTACTAATTGTAACAACATAGTTTCACAGTGGTAAGGAGGCCTGAAAATGCAGATCATTGTCAAAGGGGTTAAAAGCTCCTTCAAAGTTATGTAGAATTGAGTTTAATGGAATCTCCCTGAATATTGCAACTCCTGAAATTATTTTATGAGAAGCTAGTCCACAAATATCAACGCATTGGTCTGAAACTTCTTGCTCAACTGTTTCATCAGAAGTTACACTAATGTATTTTAAATTAAGATAGCAGAGAAAGGAATTTCTGATTAACAGCATATTCTAAAATGCCACAGAAAACTTCAGGGCAACTGAAGAGTTCTGAATTAATGGCATTTTATGGGAATGTTTGGTAAAGTCCTTTGTACAATATGTATTGTGTGAACATTTAACTTGTGATTTTGGTGTTAAAGACATCAGAAATCTGTAATTATTTCATATCCTGAAACTACAAAAAGAAATATCTGTTTCAGAGGAAGTTAAGAGTTCCAAGAAATAAAAATTAAGAGTTATTAACTTGTGGAAGTAATACTGTATATTAAGGCATTTTAACCTATAAAGATTAAAATTCTCCACTGGGAGTTGTTAAGTTCACAGAATTGATTACATTTGATGGGGTATTGATTTGTGACAGCTCTCCTTCATTCACCTTTTGTGAATTACTGCCACTGGACTTGCTTTTGCTGTTATCTGCAGCTAACTTAATTGATAAGGCCTTGGAGACTCTAGTACTGGCTAGGCAGCCACAAAGAAGACGGAAGAAAGCCCGACGCATCTCTTTGCTGGCCAAAGTGTAGATAATGGGATTCATGCCAGAATTGAGGACTGCGACTGCAATAAACCAATCCTCTTGATACAGTATACTGCACTTATTTGGTTTACAAGCTACATCAAGGAGCAAGAAAATGAAAAGCGGGGACCAACATGCAATGAAAATTCCTACAACAATCACTACTGTCTTCAGCAGAGCCATTGATCTCTCTGAATTGTTTTTTGTAAATTTTCTGTTTGAAACTTTGCGGCTACTTGTCTTAACCAGTATATAAATACGAGCATAAAGTATTACGATGGCCAACAGAATTGCACTGAAGATGCTGATGCAGAAGACAACGTACGTTTTGGAGTAAAGTGGCAGGACTGTGGAGCAGTCCGAGAAGTTGCAGATACAGTTCCAACCGAGGATAGGCAAGGCACCAAGTAAAATGGATATTAGCCAACAAGCGCCAATGAGGAGGAAAACTCTGTACTTTTTACTTGCATCATAGGGTCTCATTTTTATCATAGTCATGTGTCTCTCAATTGCTATTGCTAGCAAGCTAAAGGTGGAGGCTCCCAATGCTACAAACATACTTCCTTCCCTGATGAACCATACAGTTGTTGTGAGGCCAAAAGTCTTATTTCCAGACATAAGAATGTTTACTATGTAAGCTATTCCTGCCAGAAGATCGGATAGGGCTAAATTACCAATGAAATAGTACATGCGATTATGAAATTTGTTGTTTTTCCAAATGGCTAGGAGAACCATAAGGTTTTCAAGCACGATGAAGCTGCAGATGATCAGAAAGGCCACAGTAGTTAGGTCCATCCCATTGGTGGGTTTTCCTTTTTTGTTGAATTTCCCTGTGTAATTATAGTGACTCTCAATGAGGTCTGTTTTGACGCACCCATTGCTGATGAGCGTTTCAGCTGGAAGAGCGATTAAAGGCATGTTCATGTTGAAGCTTTTTTGTGGTATTAGATCTTGTTCACTAGATGGAGCCTTTGCCCCATTATTAATATAGACAGCCTGAAGAAAACCTGTGAGCCATATTCTCAATGCTGCCAGCAAACATTGGGCACGATACGTGAAATTTTAAAATCTGTAAAATTGAACACAATGTTTGATCAATGTGCTGTAAATTTTCAGACATGCTGTTGACATACAGAACTGACTCCTATTGATCTTAGATAAAGCATCAAAGATTTCTTAATCAACCTCCCTCTAAAGTACACAACATGCATTTGAAATATCCTATTAGAGTATTGGGAACTTTTGAAATGCCTAGTACATTTCATTAAGACAAGTCAAAAACTGGTCAGTTTTGGAAATGATTGTCTACTTCTAAATGCAGAAAATTCCAAAGGGATGGATTAAACAATGTAGAGAAGGAATGATTAATGCATGAAACCTCGGATATTATGGGATGTTAGACAGTGGAATTACCATTTGATTTATTTGCAATAGAGTTACATAATTTACATCTATCTGCTCACAGCTGTCAGGCAGAAAGAACAGCACTGAACAGCCCGATAACCTTCATTGTGTGATTTTCATTAATTTACAATGCACTATTATACATACCCATGTATGTCATAGTTCCACGTTGCTAAATACCTAAACAATTTGTGAACATGTCATGATGAAAGACAGGCTTTGCTTGAATAGGGATTACTTACATTCGAAGTTAAGGCTATTTGTTTCAGAAAGTTGCCATTTCTTCAGTTAGCAAATTACATTGAATAAAAGAAAAGTTCAGGAAGTAACATATTTATAGAGGTGCTTCTTTCATGTGAGAACACTTGACACTTGATTCACTGAATATCTTAACAGTTGGCGCTAAATGTAACATAATTAGGACCCCCACACCCCCGTCCCGAACTTGGATTCAACACTCAAATGTTCGAGTTAGAGAAATAAGTGGGATGTAAGAAAAATAAAATTACGTTCAGTAAGTGGTGTTCTCAGATTCCCGTTCTTTATTTACAAATGCTTGCAGTGAAAACATTAAAAGCCTTTGGAAGAATGTTCATTAGACATTGGGATACTCGCCAAATGTACGTTTTTAGAGATGTCCTTACTACTACAAAATCCCAATATTTCAGTAATTAGCTGAATGTTTAAGATAAATATGTTGACTATCTTTTGTTTTTTATTTTGTAACACTTGAATAGCATAACAATGACCTCCGACAGAAAAACAAACAAAAACGTCATGCTTAGTGAACTTTACAAAATGAAGACTCACCCTTCACATTACTTTTAGCTTTGGAGCCAATATTTAACAAGTTAGTGTTTAAGTTCAGAGGTGGGTGACTAGCTGCAAATCTCCGAGTTTGTCCTGATCAGAATAGTTTTCAATTGTAGCGTTTTCAATTAAAAATTCACTATTTCCTCAGTCTCGATGCTTTTACTGTTTTCCAGTGTTAAATTTGCACACTTCGTAATTTTTCCCTTCAAATACACTTCTTCGAAACTCCTTGGCAATTCCAAAGCTTTCCATTAAACATTCCCTGATTTGTGTCAGTATCCCTCAATCTTGCTATCGAGACACCTTTTGTCGCATCAAATTAATTTTAGTCTATTTAGGGGGCCAGTCACTTTTCCGGACCATTGCTTCTTCCACAGACTATTATATTAAATGGCTTGGATTTCATTCTTTTCGGTTTCACGTTGCAGTATTTGTTTCTATAATTTGCTGCTCATTCCTTTCAGCAGCCTATTACAGTTTTCTGACCGTGTCATATTCTCACTTTTTCGCCGTAGTTTTCCGGGTTCTTGCAAGAGCCCTTGTCGTTTTACTGGTGCTGTGGCTTGCAGCTGTGTTCTTCGTGACTCTCACTCCGCCTTATACACTACGAAGTTCCCTAAGTATTATATTCATGTCAGCCTAGTCTTTTTGTTGCTGTGTCTGAGTTGGCGGCAGGTAACGCCCTCAGAGGGCAGTTCCTCACTATGCATGACGTGCTATTAAGGCTTGAAGTTCTGGCAGAGAAACCCAGAGTGGTAGGGAAATATTGCGTGAAATATACACATGCAAAATCAAACAACCAAGAGAAAGGATGTGACGGTTAAAGGGAAAGAAGAAATCACTCATAGATGACTCTGTTACATTTTGATGTGCGAAGACAATCATTTAACTAGGAGAAAAACTGAAAGACAAAATAAAAAAGACAAAAATATTTGACCACAGCTGAGATGGTGACATCAACTTGCTCAATGTTTTATTTATAGTGTATATCTTAAATATTTAACTTGATTTTTTTTTTCAGATTTGCCCTGAAGTAAAATGCCAATTGCCATTATTTTCTTGAGTGAAATTAAAAAGAGTTTTAATGCCAATAAAAAGACAACATCAAACACAGGCAAACAGAAGTAATGTGTTTAAAGAGAGGAGTGACTTATACAGACAGGAAAAATAAAAGACACACATTCACACCACTTAAATGCCAGATGATGACAATCTAATCATCATTTGTTGACATTCAATGGTGTCCATCACAGAATCCCCTACTATCAACATCCTTGAGGTCACCATTGACCAAAAACTCAACCGGACTCATCACATAAACATAGTAGCTACAAGAGCAGGTCAGAGACTCAGAATATTGTGACAAATAACACACTTCCTCACTCCTCAAAACCTGTTGCCATTTACAAGGCACAAATCAAGAGTGGGTTGGAATATTCACTTACTTGCCTGGATGGGTGCAAGTCCAACAACACTCAAAAATTTTGAAATCATCCAGGACAAAACAGCCCGCTTGATCAGCAAAATATCTACAAGCATCCATTGCTTCCACTGCCGACACTCAGTAGCAGCAATATGCACTATCTACAAGATTCACTGCTGAAATTCACCAAAGATGCTTAGACAACATCTTTCAAACCCATGACCACTTCCATTTGAAAGGATAATCCCAGCAGATACATGGGAATGTCACCACCTGCAAGTTCCCCTCCAAGCCACTCAGCACCCTGATGTGGAAATATATTGTTGCTCCTTCACTGTTGCAGGGTCAAAATTCTGGAATTCCCTCCGTTGGGGCATTGTGGCTCAACCTACAGTATGTGGACTGTAGCGGTGCAAGAAGGCAGCTCACCAACACCTTCTAAGGCCAACTAATCACAGGCAATAAAATGCTGGCCAGTCAGCAATGTCCTTGTCCCACAAGTGATTAAAAAGTAAGTTTCCACAGTGCTGAGGAGTGCACAATATTGCTCTAAGAAGGATAATGACCTTCTCTGTCCTGACAGGGTGAGTGTTACCATCTTCTATCTGTTACCTCACAGTCACCCTGCCCATGTTACTGCACTCACCTCCCACTAAGGCTCATGCTCTACCACTCTCAATATAGCATGCATCATCTTTCCTTACTCTTTCCTACCCACTTCAAAACCATACAGGACTAACCCTGCATGCCCTCTGTGCTGCCCATTCATTCATGCAGGAGACCTCAAAATTAGTCCTTCACCTGCACCACCACTACAGCTGTGCCACACTTTTTTATCTCACAGAATCACTCCCTTTCACTCATTCCAGGTGAAAAGTGTCATAATAGGGCAGCAAGGGCCCAATGGGTCACGGGTGCTTGATTTTAGCCTCCTCAGCTTATGAGAAAAGAATCTTGGTTCTTGCAAGAGAAGAGGATTGCTCCTGCAAGATCCCAAGATATGTTCTCCGATGAGTAAATACCATTTGTCATTCTGGTGCAGCTCTTATGTTAATCCCACTGTTGGTGTTATTCATTGCACAAACTATAATCCTTGTGTGCCACAACTTCTTTCTTTTGTGTCCTAGATGTACAAGTGGAAAGTCCACATCCTTAGCAGACAAGCGGACTGTCCCGTGATGAAGACACTCCAGCACCTCTTGGGAACAGTGTCCAGAGGCTGCAGAGCAAGCATCAGCAACGCTGCCTCCTGATATCCCTGCCAGTTCACATACTGGCAGCTTGGTGAATATGACAGAGAGAAAAGAACTTGTTGAACCAGTAAGTGAATACTTCTCTGCAACATAGAACATTACAGCGCAGTACAGGCCCTTCGGCCCTCGATGTTGCGCCAACCTGTGAAACCAATCTGAAGCCCATCTAACCTAAACTATTCCATTATCATCCATATGTTTATCCAATGACTATTTAAATGCCCTTAAAGTTGGCGAGTCTACTACTTTTGCAGGCAGGGCATTCCACGCCCTTACTATTCTCTGAGTGAAGAAACTACCTTTGACATCTGTCCTATATCTATCACCCCTCAATTTAAAGCTATGTCCCCTCGTGCTAGCCATCACCATCTGAGGAAAAAGGCTCCCACTGTCCACCCTATCTAATCCTCTGATCATCTTGTATGTCTCTATTAAGTCACCTCTTAAACTTCTTCTCTCTAACGAAAACAGCCTCAAGTCCCTCAGCCTTTCCGCATAAGACCTTCCCTCCATACCAGGCAACATCCTGGTAAATCTCCTCTGCACCCTTTCCAATGCTTCCACATCCTTCCTATAATGTGGCGACCAGAACTGTACGCAATACTCCAAGTGCGGCCGCACCAGAGTTTGGTACAGCTGCAACATGACCTCATAGCTCCGAAACTCAATCCCTCTACCAATAAAACCTAACATACCGTACGCCTTCTTAACAACGCTATCAACCTGGGTGACAACTTTCAGTGATCTATGCACATGGACACCGAGATCTCTCTGCTCATCCACACTACCAAGAATCTTACCATTAGCCCAGTACTCTGTATTCCTGTTACTCCTTCCAAAGTGAATCACCTCACACTTTTCCTCATTAAACTCCATTTGCCACCTCTCAGCCCAGCTCTGCAGCTTACCTATGTCCCTCTGTAACCTGCAACATCCTTCCGCACTATCCACAACTCCACCGACTTTGGTGTCATCCGCAAATTTACTAACCCATCCTTCTATGCCCTCATCCAGGTCATTTATGAAAATGACAAACAGCAGTGGCCCCAAAACAGATCCTTGAGGTACACCACTAGTAACTGAACTCCAGGATGAACATTTCCCATCAACCACCACCCTCTGTCTTCTTACAGCTAGCCAATTTCTGATCCAAACCGCTAAATCACCCTCAATCCCATGCCTCCATATTTTCTGCAATAGCCTACCATGGGGAACCTTATCAAACGCTTTACTGAAATCCATATACACCACATCAACCGCTTTACCCTCATCCACCTGTTTGGTCACCCTCTCAAAGAACTCAATAAGATTTGTGAGGCACGACCTACCCTTCACAAAACCGTGTTGACTATCCCTAATCAAATTATTCCTTTCTAGATGATTATAAATCCTATCTCTTATAATCCTTTCCAACACTTTACCCACAACCGAAGTAAGGCTCACTGGTCTATAATTACCAGGGTTGTCTCTACTCCCCTTCTTGAACAAGGGGACAACATTTGCTAGTCTCCAGTCTTCTGGCACTATTCCTGAAGATAATGACGACATAAAGATCAAAGCCAAAGGCCCTGCAATCTCCTGTCTAGCTTCCCAAAGAATCCTAGGATAAATCCAATCGGGCCCAGGGGACTTATCTATTTTCACATCTTCCAGAATTGCTAACACCTCCTCCTTATGAACCTCAATCCCACCTAGTCTAATAGCCTGTATCTCAGTATTCTCCTCGACAACATTGTCTTTTTCCTCTGTGAATACTGACGAAAAATATTCATTTAGCGCCTCTCCTATCTCTTTGGATTCCACGCACAACTTCCCACTACTGTCCTTGACTGGCCCTAATCTTACCCGAGTCATTCTTTTATTCCTGACATACCTATAGAAAGCTTTAGGGTTTTCCTTGATCCTACCTGCTAAAGACTTCTCATGTCTCCTCCTGGCTCTTCTTAGCTCTCTCTTTAGGTCCTTCCTGGCTAACTTGTAACTCTCAAGCGCCCTAACTGAGCCTTCACGCCTCATCTCTACATAAGCTTCCTTCTTCCTCTTGACAAGTGATTCAACTTCTTTAGTAAACCACGGTTCCCTCGCTCGACCACTTCCTCCCTGCCTGACAGGTACATA